AAATTTTCTTTTTTATTATTATTACTACTATTATTTAGTTACTCTGAGAAGTAAAATCAGCACCTTTCTTTTTTCTCTTTTAATAACTAACCTAGTCCAGTTAAAAATTATTTCATAAATAAATTAATATTGGTTACAATTAATACAATTATGAGTCGTGGTGGCTTAGGGGATAGAGTGCTCGCCTACCATTGAGGTGCCCCAGGTGCGAATCCCAGCAATGGCCAATCGATACAAATTCCGCACCCGGCTTACACCGACCACAGTGCTAACGTAAAATATCCTCAAGTGGTATACGAATCATGAGTTAGAGTCCCCTTGCAAACAGGTTAACCATAGAGCGTTTTCGTGGTTTTCCACTCCATGAAACGCAAATACGGGCTACTTCCATCAAGAAATTCATCAAGAAATTCAATTCATTGATCCAGAAATTCTCTTGTCTTCAGGATTGGTTTCAAAACTAAAAGGCTATGGAGTTGAACATTTTTTGTTGTAAACTCAAAATTAGGTCGGCTGTTCAACGGCAATGAAAACAAAAACTATTTTTTATATGAATCATAACATATTATCGTCAGAGAGAGCACACTCTAACATTAACATTTGAAAACATTTGGTATATATGTTTAAAACAAATTAATTCTACTCTTAATGGATGGTGTTTTCAGTAGAAATGTAAACAATAACAATCTCGAGCTCGGCACCTACTCTAGTTCCGGTTAAAAAGTTTGCAGCTGCTTACTACATGTTATTCTGATAGGCGATGTTTTCAAACAGATAATTTTGTTTTCAATAAAAGAAAAAAATTAGATAATTTCTGAGCTCAAATCTGCTGTATTTCATAAGATATTAATGTTATTATTTTATTCTGGGGAGCTTGGAGTGAAAATTTGTTTTAGTTATTTTGTTATTTTTGTTATTTATTATTAAAAAAGGTGATATGGTTGCTAGACTTTGAATAACTCGCTATTTTGGCAGTCTTGATTTGGCCTCTTTCCATAAGTTTATTACTGTTTGTTCTTGATGCAAGCTGTGCACCATCTTACGTTAGTATTAACACTTTTAGCATTGTAAACACAAGTAATAAGTAATCAAATACATTGTTTGCAAGAATCTCGAAACACGACGATGCCAAATGGCTTTAAAATACAACTGAAACAGTAACCCGGAAATTTAGGCGGTACCGAGCTTGCAGCGTTCCCTAGTCTAGAAAACACCATCCATAGAAATGTAAACAATAACAATCTCGAGCTCGGCACCTACTCTAGTTCCGGTTAAAAAGTTTGCAGCTGCTTACTACATGTTATTCTGATAGGCGATGTTTTCAAATGGATAATTTTGTTTTCAATAAAAGAAATAAATTGGATAATTTCTGAGCTCAAATCTGCCATATTTCATAAGATATTAATGCTAATATGTAATTCTGGTGAGTTTGAAGAGAAAATTTGTCTTAGTTTTTTAGAGAGATATAGTTAAAAAAAGGTGACATGTTTGGAATATAAAAAAAGCAATTCCAACAGTACAGTCGGCAAAAAAAAAAAAGATATCACCCTGAATAACTTTCGTTCTAATGATCGGATTTTCACGAACTAAGTGTTAATCTTAATGGTTCCTGGGGGTGACCTCAAATATGCTAACTAATTAGTGCTAACTATTAATTAAGTTACGAAATCAGATACAAAAACGTACTTTCTCTGAATAAACATATATTTTTTCTTACATATTTGGATTTTTAACCTCCAAAATATAGGGGGTAGCCGCAATCTGGGAAATATGGTCCCCTTAGTTTGGTCAGGAGAGCGATCCAAAGTTCGTACCCCTTAATGTTAATTTCACTTTTTACGTTTTTAGTCATATTTTAAAAACTAATAAAGCAATTCGAAGAAAATTTCACCCAGTCATAAAACTCATTTACCCAAAGATAATTTCACGAAAAAAATAATTTTTAATAATTGTTAATTATTTTTTATTATTTAATTAAATTAAGGATGAAAA